TACCCATTTTACATATAAAGTGGATTCGAAAAACATTTTACATTTTAAATACATTTTTTTAAGTATTTTATATTTGGCATTTTAAATGATTACCCAGCCCTGACATCAATAATGCACATTCTATAGTAATTTTGTTTATAACATTTTAACATCACTGAACACTCATCTTATGACACAAACTATACATATGTACGTAACGTAAGGATTATTGAGATCTACTGTTATTAAAAACGAAAATGTATTCTGATTAAAATTAAAATCAAAATTATTCTGAAATGTATTTGACCATGGATGCTTTCCATTTGGTGACACAAATCGACACAAATGATGATCTATCTCTGTTACCCTCTGAATTTCAAGAAAGATAAATTGATGTTTGTGTCGACTTGTATTACTAAATAGAAAGCACTCTATATCGCTATGAGTTATATATGATATATAGTATGATCTTCTTGAGTGAGTGAATGGGTGAATAAGAGAAAGAGGATTTCCTATAGATCCACACAGCACATTTTATCTAAATAGAAGTCCTAGAAATATTTAGAGGATATAGGGATGTTCTCAGGATGTTTTTAGGACGTTCCTTGGAGATCTGTTTGAGAATATACACACACATATAATTCATAAATGGACACTAATATAGACATTTCTCATAGAACTTTGTGCGAAAGAATGGAAAGGAATTATTAGTCATCGCTTACCTGCTTTTGTTTCTACGCTGCACTATGTATTTGTCACGCTTGGTCTCACGCTGCAAAGTCGTCAATAGCTACCACAAGTTGCCACGATACTGAACTATTGAAAGCTGCCTGCTGGAATCATGCAGCACTTTAGCAGCAGCAGTATAGTTGCTGTTCTGACGTATTTTCGAATTGGAGTGAGGGAGAGCAATAAACGTGACAAAGACATCAATTTATAGAAGGAAGGTCACGCGATCTGACACGACAAAGCATACAAAGAAGGGATATATTAACATGTCAATTCAGAGAAAATAACGTATATATGTGTATAAATTGATACTGAAATTTTATGAAAAATGCTGCGACAACTATATTTTATAGTCACACACACACATCAACTACATTATTTAACATCCATATGTATATTAATTATAATATTCTTTTCATACATTAATAAAAATTGTCATTCTGGCATTTTATAATTTTTTTAATTTGTTATATAACAAAAAAGAAACTGTGTGATCATAACCAAAAAGCTTCTTAAAGATCGAATTATTCTATTCTTAATTCATTAAACATGATTTTTAATTAATAAATGTTCGCGAAATTTCTTTAGTTCATTCATTTATCGATCCTATAAAATAAATTACGTATTGAAAAAAAAGTACGATCGAGAATCATTCAAATTGTTATTTTCAGCTGTTTGTAAAAAGAAAAATTATATAATATTGTTATACGTCTTCTTCTTCTGGTTTCCCCTTCATTGGTTTTCATTGGTACGTGTACGTACGAGTTGTAATAATTTCGTACTATTAAGGCCGCAGCACAGACTCTTGCATAACGCATAACGCATAGTGCATAAGCGAATCAACTAATCAGAATCTTTCCTTTCCTCCCATTCCATGGAAAAGTAGAATTTCGATTGGTCGATTCCCTTATGCACTATGCATTATGCGTTATGCAAGAGTCTGTGCTGCGGCCATCAATATAAGCACCGATGAAATATTGGCTGCGTTCAGCAGACTCAACAGTTTTGCAACCGTTTTATGATTGTCTGCTGAGATAGGACCATTCTTCTAGATCTAAAAGTATGATCCAATTAGCGCGAAGGAAACTTCCAACAGTTGCAAAACAAACGCTGAACGCTGAACGCTGAACGCACCCATTATACTAAAGACGGTTGACACTTGGCAAATTTTCGTGACCTAATGGAAAAGGACCGAGAGGTAATTGAAGAACGGTGACATTATCGATAATTGATATAAAATTGCAATTATTTTAACACATTTATAATAAATACATTATTAAATTTATGATTTTTTATTATATAAATACTCCATAAATAAATACTTGTAATGCTTTAATATATATTATCTTATATATAGCCGCAAAATTACAATTTTTTTCTCTCCTGCATTTATTATCATCATTTATTATCATCATTATATTGATAATTTAACTCAAACGATAACACTAAAACCATATTATACCTATAATTTTAAATAAAATGATAAAAATCATATTAATCAAGTATATTATTGGGTTTTTTTAAATATATAGATACATGTTTACAAAATTCATAAAATTAGGACAGAATCTATAGACGTTGCTCAAGATTCGAGATGGTCTTAAGCTAGTGCATGAATCAATCAGAGGCCGGTATTCATAATCGGTTTTTATTTCAAGATGATCTTAAGTAATGTCTTAATACACTAACGCGGCTCTCTGATTGGTTCATGACACCTCAAGGCTGAACTTAAGACTATCTTGAATATAAGAACTGACTATGAATACCGGCCAGAGAACCGTATTAGCATCTTAAGACCTTGCTTGAGATTAAGACCGGACTATGAATTCCGTCCTTAATACTGTATTATAAATTTCTATTCTTTAATCACTTAAATTTTAACAGTCAAGCAAACTTCCATTTCCATAAGCATTCATAAGGCCGGCCGTCTTTAATAACAGTAGGTATGTCCGCGTTATTTGCACTTTTTGCACTTAGTGTCTTCGTTCTCTCTCTTTTTAACCCTTAAATATATATTTATCCCATTTTAAGTGCAAACATTTTTAGGGATTTCAAGCAACGCAAACAAACCTAGTATCTCGTTGATAACTGTCGATGATAAAGTGATTCATTCGCGCAGCGCTTAGCGGAGATTATATAATTGACTTAAGGCCATCACACGTACAAAAATTTTAGTCGGAATCGTAAGGTCGCAAACAAATCGATCAATCACAATCAAAATTAAGATCTCGCGCTTTTAAACGCTCGACTGTGATGTTGGCCGATTTGCCTACGGCCTCACAATTACGACTAAAATTTTTGTACCGGGGTCTACAATAGAAGTCGTAGCGGTCGTAAGGTCTTAAGTCGTAGAAAATTGACCAATCACAGTCGAATATGAGAAGAATAATCAACTGTGATTAGT